GAGCGCACGCGCCCTATAGCGAAAACCTCTCCAAAAAAAAAAAAATATATATATATATATATAAATGGTTAATATGGTAAACTATGTTACCTGTATTTTAACACAATTTAAAAATTGGGGGAAAAAAGAACAATCAGTATCAAAGGAAGAGCCTGAAGGAAAATAAACAAGGGTAAGGAAGAGGATCCTGCAATGAGAAGTGAGAAGGAACAAGCAGAGAGGTAGTAGGAGAGCCTGTGCTCTCCTGGAGTCAGGGAAGAGATGGCTCAGCACAGTCAATGGTGCCGAAGGGATGGGTTCACAAAGAGAGGCAGAGGGGAATGGCTGTCTGGAACCTTGACCAGAGCCATGTCTGCCTGGGGTAGGTAGGGTACGTGCAAGTATGTTTAATCTCTGTTAACAGATAATAATAGAATTTTTTTTTGAGAGGTTTTCACTATAGGGCGCGTGCGCTCGCCAGACAGACAGAGAGAGACATAGAGACAGAAAGCAAGAAATCACCCCTCAGCGGGGATGGTCACGCCGCAATCCCTTCTCCTCCATTCTCCTCTCGGGATCTTGGGCACGCACGCACACGCGCCCGGCGTGAGTTTTAAGCCACCGGGTCCGGGACGCAAACTGCGGTCGACTATGTGGGAGTCCAGCGACATAGCCATTACGCTAACTGCTGGTTCCCAATAATAGAATTTTTAATAGAAAAATAATAGAATTTTTCTTGAGTGTATTATGAGCTAAATACTATATTAAGTGCTTTACATACCTTATCACATGTAATCCTCAAAATAATATCATCTCTGTGAAATACATGCTATTATGAACACCATATTTTTCAGATGAGGGACCTGAGATATATAGAGGAAAAGCAATGATAATACTAAGAGGACAAAAGCTAGTCAGCAGATAGGCTGGAAACTGAACTCAAGGAGTTGGACTCCAAGAAGAAACTCTTGAATATCACAGTGTACCCTCTAAATGATCTGCCACACATAATACTACTTACTCATCCATTCAGTGAGCCTACTATGTGCCAGACACTATTGCAGATGCTGGTAATCCAGAAGGTACGGAGCAAACCCATGACCGCATAGAATTTACTTTCTAGTGGAGGAAACAGAGAGTAAACAAGCAAAATGTGTGTACTTTCAGTACTTAGTGCAATAAATATTAAGAATGCAGATAAGAGGACCAGCAGATGGCATAATGGTTATGTCACTGGACTCCCACATGGCTGACCATGGTTCAAGTCCCGTACCCAGTGACTTGAAACTCAAGCCATGTGGGAGTAAGTGTGCGTGTATGCCCAAAGGAGAATGGAGTAGAAGGGATTGCAGTGTGGCCATCTCCCCCACCCGGGGGTGATTTTTCACTTTGTCTCTCTGGCAAGCACACATGCCCTATAGCAAAAAAACCTAAAAAAAAAAAAAAAAAAAAAAAAAAGGAAAGTAGCTAGACAGTGACTAACAAGAATTTTCTTAAGAGCTGATTTTTTTATTATTTTTTAAAATTTAACTTTTCTTATTTTAATTTGACCAGAAAGGGACAGAGTGAGCAAGAGAGAGAGGGAAAGTGAGAAAGCAAGCCACCAGGTCCAGGACTCGAACCACGGTCAGCCATGTGGTAGTCCAGCACCCTTAACCACCACGCTCCCTGCCAGCCCCAAGAATTATTTTTAATCATAGTTCTAAAATGACATTTCAGCAAATATCTGGATTAATGCAAGGACTGAGCTATGAGAAGATGCATTCCAGACTGAAGGAGGAAGAAGTGCCCTGACACTGAAGTAAGAATGAACTTGACTCAGCAAGGGAGAAGGTCTGGGGTGGGGGCAGAATGAGGGGAAAGTTGGTAGGATGTGAGATTGGTAAGTGAGGCAAGGACAACCTTATGGGTAAGAGTTTAGCGTTGTACTAGGTGTGACGGGAAGCCTGTGGAGGGTTTCCAGTCGGGCAGTGACAAACTCTGACTCACATTAGCTTGCACTAGAAACTGGACTTGGGGTTCTGTGAGCCTCATTCTTTCCTGTGTCTTAGAGTTGTGTTGTCATGTGGCTACTGACCATTTGTAATGTGACCAGTCTGAACTGAGCTATGCTCTAAGGGTAAAATGCACACTAGATTGCAAAGCAAGAATGTAACAGACTTTGTCAACAATTCTCCTGAAATGTTAAAATGACAATATTTTAGATATTTGGGTTAAATAAAATATATTCAATTTCCTTTTACCTATTTCTTTTACTCTTTTTTAAAATGTAGCTACTAGAACATTTTAGATTTTATATATCACTTGAGTTATGTGTCTACTGGACGGCCTTGGTCTGGATAACCTCCCTTCTGCTCACAGCCTCAGAGTGCTATGAAGACAAATGAAATAACTTTGTGTAGGGCTCTTTGAGTTTTCTTAAGGAAACACATTATGTAACAAGAAGATAAATTATTGAGGATGACAGTCAGCCAAAAAACGTACTGGTTCTTTATAGGCCAAAGATAATGTTACTGATTGAGTGGTGGTTTGTTCTGCTTTTCCCACAGCGGTGATGAGTGTGCACAAAGTCATCTGCAAATGCTTCTCTCCCCACCCACTCTACACCCTTCCTGCATTCCCTTACGACCAAAACAGCATATTTTTGAAATACCTGGCCCAGGTTAAGAATGCGGTTCTCTAGCAATGGAAATTTTTCTTTCTGCAAAGCTCTCAGTCCTGTACAGGTTTGAATCTCAGCCTATTTAACATAATATTCTAATTATCTGGTCTACTCAAGCAAGCAGATTCCAAATGTCAGTAATTATATCTATAATCGTAATTATAGAATGCTCTTGGTTCTCATATTCAATTCTAAATGTGGCCAATTAGAATATACTTATATTGCAAAAATTGATGCGCATGCTCTAACCAAGAAATTGGTTTCTCTTTGTGAATTTATATCTTCGAAAAATCTCATAATATTATAGATTAAGCCATATTTCAATCTACTGGATATGGCAGCATTTGAAGAGCTATATATAAAATATAAATATATTTATATGATTATAAGACAATGGGATTGTAAGACAGTGGAGTGATACAGCTGTATTAATATATTGTAGTCCTTAATAGTAGTAAGCGAGTAGAAGCATCAGGTGAAATCTCCCTCATCTTTGCCAACTCCTTTCTGCCTCTACCTCCTGCTTGTTCTCCTGTTAGACAGATGACAGACCTTCACTCTCAGTTTTCAGCCTCTGTCTTTGTAATCTACATTGTCTCTCCCTTCTGGAGGTCCTTAATGCTTTGCTCAACCCTCTTCTCCCCTGCATGTTACTATCTCCTATCCTACTAAATAACAACAACAACAAAATACCTCTAGAATGTCCCACCTTGAAACAAACACTTCCTTTGGTCCCACATTTCCTTCTGTTTATAACCTCTCTGCCCTTAGCAGCAAAATTTTTCAAAAGAGTTACCTATAACTCTGTTTCTAATTCTTCTCTTCTCATTCTTTCATTTTTTAAAAATTTATAGAGACTTTTTAAAGACAAACTCAACATCACAGAACAAGAAGCGAATTGTCATTTTAAAGCCACTTTCCTTGTAAAGGTTAAAGCCGAGAGAACTTCCTTATCGTAACGGCTAAATTAGACTGTTCGGGGACTGTTTATTATCTCTGTCTCTCCTGATTTCTTGGAAGATCAGGTAAACAACTGAGTTTCAGGTAGGTGGTATGGAACTTCAGCATGAGTATCTCCACTGCAGTTTGGTCTGTTAGGCCTAGTGCAGGAGATCAGTACAAACCAATGACCTGTTATAAATTTTATTTAATGTAAGGAAGGAAGGAAGAGGAACAGGCAGGAAGGAAGAAGAGAAGGAAGACAGGAAAGGAAAAAAGAAGAAGAAAATAGTATGTATTTTTCTTTTAATTTTTGCCAGAGGGCACATATGCACACAAGAGAGAGAGAGAGAGAGAGAGAGAGAGAGGAAGCAAGAAAATACCCCTACCCCCCATAAGGCATGGTCATGCCACGATGCCTTCTCCTCCATTTATTCCTCCTTTTGGAATTTTGGGCATGCATGCACATGTGCCCAGTGTATTCTTTAAGTTGCAGAGTCCAGGGCTCCAACTTCATGGTCAGACATGTGGGATCCAGCAGTCCAACCACTGGACTGTGGGTTTAGCCAAAATAGTATGTATTTTTGCTCTACCCACAAAGCTAGGTTTGCCTTTCAGTATTTAACTATACTTAATCCAACAGCAAACTTTGTCTAGCCTAGCTCTAAATATGCTCAATCCAGACGCTTTCTGGCTATCTCCACTGTCACTACTTTGGATCATTCTCTCTCACATATTGCAATATCCGCCCAAATGATCTCCCTGACTCTGCTCTTGTACCTGCTCAGAAGATCCTCTGAACAGTCAAAGTAATCTTTTAAAATCATAGATCAGCTCATGTCGCACTTCCGATTGACTGTTCAACAACTTCTCATTGCACGCAAAAACTGACATCGAAATTCCTGACCATCGCTCCAAGCACTGCATGACTAAGCCCTTGCCTACCTCTCCAGAGTTATCACCTGCTACCCCTAATCTTCTCCACCTAGGGTCTTTGTTTTTGCTTATCTGGGGTGCTCTCCTGCCTAGAACCTTCTCCTCATTTGACCGACCCGGGTTTTCCTTTTCACCATCAGGGCTCAGCCTGTTGAGCCTGGCCAGGCTACCCCTTTCAAAGCAATCCTGCCCACTTATTTTCTCACAAGGTCTTATTTCCTTCCTAGTATTTGCCACTATTCTAATTACATATTTTTCTATATTTGTTTTCTTGACCATCAGGCTCTGCTTGTTTTTATCGCATTCCAGAGAGGAGGATTGGCATAAGGATCGGGATAAGTCACTGGGTGTTGTAGCCAGGCGTCTCCTCTCCCTTCCCTTGGAAGGCAGCCTGACTATGAAGAGTGCATCTGTTTGTGTGACCTTGTGAGGAGTTTCACAAGAACAGGCCCAGGCTGGTTCAGTACCGCCTATCACCTATTGCTAGATGTAGAAGTCCAGTTTGGGCCTGAAGTATTAGGAAGGTCACTGCAATGATCTTCAAGCCATGAATACAGCAGCTCCATCACTAGAATGCTGCTGTTGTGCTCTATGGCTCAATGGCTTTGGAGAGCAGGTGGAGAACAGAAGGGTGCTATATATTGACTATATAAAACACCAGTATCTCTTTGCCGATGTGAATGGAGATCTAGGTTTGTAACTTCTCAGTGTTAAGTTATAGTATTATTCTTTTGTAAAAGCATGTGTTTATGAGCCCCAACATCTGAAAGGGAAAAAATGCTGAGTAAAGTACAGAGATATTCTGCTTACAGTAGGTGATTATATTCATTGTAAGACTCTATGAGAGTTTTCAGTGGTGCTTAAAGTTTAAGAAAATTTGTACTACAGATGGAGGAACAAAAAAAGCCCGGCCCATGGGTAAATAAAAACCAGTGCACATTTTTAAAGTATAGAATACACAGTATGAGAATTATGGTTAATAAAGACCAGCCACAGTGTTTATCCACAGTGCCAGGGACTGAACCACTGAAAGAGGAAAGATGGGAAAAAATGCTAGAGATAGCAGTCTCCTGAGCAGTGGGCGGGAGGTATGTGAAGTCTAGCCAGGGGGTAAGTGAACATGGATGGTTTCAAGGACTGCATTTTCAGATAAGCTTTCCTAGAATGGATTGATCCTAGAAAAGCTCCTGGGGTGAAGCTTCAGGGTGTTCTCCTTTCCTATCTTCCCTTCACAATCACCATTTTTTTTTAAAATTACTTCTTAATAGAAAGGCATACCTCAAACCGCCCCAAGTCCATTAAGGCATTGTCTGACTATGAAACCTCTAGGGTGCTCAAGAAAGAAGAAAATTACTGTAATGATGGGCTAATTAATCCACTGGCAGCTCAGATGGATTCCCTTTCTCTACTTTCCACAAAAGAAAAGAACACCCAGTCGAGTCTTCAGATGAGTAGTCACTAAACGCAATCTTGATAGGGACTAGCAGATGACGTAATCACTGGACTCCCACGTAGTTGATTATGGTTTGAGTCCCGGATCCGGTGGCTTAAAACTCACACCAAGCACATGTGCGTGTGTGCCCAAGATCCCAAGAGAAAAATGAGAAGGGATTGTGGCGTGACCATGACCCCAGAGGGTGATTTCTTGCTTTCTGTCTCTCCAATGTGCACATGTACACCTTATAGCCAAAATCTCTCTTAAAAAAAAAATCTTGATGATAGATCACCATGTAACTTTTGGTATATAACTAAGGAAAAACTCAATTGAGCCCGATTGCTATAACAAACTCTGTCATTTCCATTTACTTATTCAAGTAGAGGATTCCTCAGTTCTTTTACCTGAGAAATCAGAGCCCCGAGCTGACTCCTATTACATTTACCCACAGATGCATGGGAGGAAAAGACTTTACCTTTCTCAGTAAGAACTGTAATTATAATAAAATTTTACATTTTATGTATAGTAACTATTCATCAATGTTTGTAATATATTTTTATCATTTTGAGTAACTAAACTTTTTTAACACTTAAAACCTTATGGTCATAGGAAATTTAAACTTATTTCCATTTATTTCCATATTTTTGTTGCACAAGAATATATTATTCATAAAATCCTTTATAAAAATATAGTATGAAGTGGAATGGAGATATAATTTGAAGGAGAAAAGTGGACCAAAGAAAATTTTCTGCAGGTAAGAACTTGTGAATATTTTTAAAGTATATAATACACAGTATGAGCATTATCGTTAATAATATTGTTTATTGAAAATTCACAGAGAGAGTACATTTCACACACTCAAAAAGGTAGCTAAGAAGGAGATACCTATGCTACTTTGACCACACTATTAGTGCAATTGCACATATGGATATCAAAAGATCATGATGGAGCCTAGCATTGGGATAAGGCTGCTTGGATACCACGATCCAAAGGCTGGGACCTCCTGGAAGGCGTGAGTTCAATTCCTGGTCCAACCTAAAAGCTGGTCACAGTAAAGTCCACCTGTAAACCCAACAATCCTGAGAGGCTGAGCAGGAAGACTGCACACAGCAAGACTCTGTCTAAAAACACCACACACACACACACACGCACAAACATACACACATTCCACACAAAGAATCATGCTATACCTTGAATATTCACAATAAAAAATAAGTTAAAATGTATTGTAGAGCATCAAATTCTATACCATTTAGATTCTACTGGACAGATACCAACAAGTAATGTGACAGTTTGTCTTTAAGATGTATTTATTTATAATGTGTTTTATATATACACACACACACATATGAATGAGAAAGAGCACTTCAAAAAGTTTGTAGGAAAAATGGAAATAAGGGATGAGTTTATTTTGGTGCAAAAAAATTTAAACACCATGCATAGTTTTTGCACAATATGAATATTTCATGAATTTTTCAAAGATGTGTGTGCGTGTGTGCAACTCTTTTATTTATGACAAAAAAAAAATTTCAGTCATCAACTTTAAAATGTAGTGAGGAGCATATTGCTTTTAAAAATACTTTAGGATTGCATGTGTGAAAATGTCTGGAGACAATGAAAAGAGAAAATTATGTGTTAGACAGGAAAACGACAGGGAA